TCCCCCCCCCCCCCCCCCAGCTTAAAGGCTGTTTTTTCTATGTATCTTCAGTGTCTTTGTGGATCCTCTGGACAGAATTACCCAGGATTTGGTTGATTGGAATGCGCAGGTCATTCCCTAGAGATCACTAACTTTGTTTTTCCACATCAAGCCCACTAGTGTTGACTTGGGACACTGGAAGAAGTTGAGATTTTGGACTATTTAGAGCATTTATTTTCTTATCATTCAAATGCTACTTCATCTTTTCAAAGAAGTGTTCTGCGTTCAAAGTAATGCATTGTGGCATTCATACTTCTAACCGTTCTGGAATGATTTTCCACAGTGATTTCAGAAGCTAGTCTTTGTTGCAAACTTTGTCACAAGCACCACAATTACAGAGTAGAGTAATAGATAATACAAAAATAGTTAGATAATATTTTTTGCATGAGAATAATTGGTTTCTTTTGTTAACACAATCTTCTTTTGTGCAAAATAATGACTTTGCTTTATTATTGTGTTTTGTTTTCTTTCATTCTGAAGAGAACATAGCAGTTCTTTTGGCTGAAAGGTGATTCATGAGGAGGCCTCTTACAGGCGCCGCAGAAGCAGGTTATGAACTAATGAAAATCATCTCTGCTCCATCGAGGGCTGTGTAACGTGACCGACGCGGGGGAGAAGGGTGTCAGTCTCTGACTTCCTCAACCCTCGGCTCTCTCACTTTGGCCAGCCAAACGATTCAAACCATGCACTTCAAACGCCTGCTTTGATTTGCAAAAAGTCAGACAGTGCTCTCCCTTTAATTTGATTCTGGCCGCATTAGCTTATCACCTGGCGCTCATCCATTTAGTGTGTAACCTTCAAGCCCTTCGTGAGACATGTCGGTGTAAAACGATCCTCATTGATTCGAATGCATAGCGCTCTGGACTAATTCCAAGGTGACATGACGTCTGTGTGGGACCATGAGTCAGTGACCCTGGTATTCGCGGCCTCATAATTAAATACACAAGCATTATTTTTCTCTCGCGAGGAAGTTCAGGCATCTGGGCCAAAATGCAATCTGGCCCCTCTCAATGGACACCATTTTTGGGCTTTTTAAACATAGTGAGAGGTAAAGATGTTCTGCAAATTAAATGACACCAAAAATCTCATTGTGTGCTGAGCTTTAATAGCTGTTTTGGGCAGCAAAGTTGGTTGTAATCTGTAGTTTTAGACCGTTTTGTTGGGTCAGTCAGTGAAATGTTTTAGTTTTTGTGAAATGAACCTACGAAGCCATGGTGTATGTGGTTAATTTTTTACACCATACAGAAGTCTCATGTTTATTTTAGCAGATGGCAGCGTTGCGCACCTGAAATCTGTTTTACATGTTGTCCTATTTTCCTTTTAAAAAAATGTTTTTTTTTTCTTTTCTTTTTTCCACCATTCAAATGCAAACAGCTAGTAAAGATTGAGCTTGATGATGAAAAAGATATTTAAATCCTGCTTAACATAAAGTCATGAGGAGCTTTTGCACTGTAGCTGACTGTAGAATTTGATTTGCTTTTGATTCAGGTATGAATGAAACAAATTAGCATCAGGGCTGAACAATACGGATGGCCTGCCAACCGGGGGTATTTCAGGCCAGCCAGAACAGTCACTTGCATTTTCAGGGTGATAATTTTACATTTATTGGTCTTGGACATCCATTGTTTATGCTTTGCACAATTGGGTCATTCCATGTCAAATCAACCAAATTTCAGAAACTTCCCCGGCTCTAATTTTTGATTTTGCCAATATTTTTTCTAAAGAAAGATAAACATGTATGGTGATGAAAGTCAAAATATTAAATGTCACAGATGTGTATTTACTGAGTAATCCACTGTTTTGTAGAAGGTGGTCAAAATGACAATTTTCACCTGAAATTCTGAGCCAAATTAGCGGGGTAAAAATGACTTCATAAAGATGGCATCGACATTGTTATTTTTACACAGAGATTGGTAGGTCTATTAGTAAAATCTGTTGACTTTAGCAATCTTTGTTGCATTATGTGCCAATGGTGACTGTTAAAAAATTAGAAAAAGCACTTTTCATGTTTTCTTCTTCAAAGTTTGCATGCCTGTAACACAAGAAGTATAAAAGATATCTTAATGCCCTTTTAGATTTTGGGTCTTAACAAACTTTCCTTTTGCCATCTTCATTTTCAAGGCAATATTGGAATTTAAGTATGCCTCAAGAGTAAATTGTTAAATTGCGCACATTTTTAGTGGCCAAAAACCAAATGCGGGTCACTTTGCATAAAGATAATACTTACTTTCTGTTAAAGAGGAATGTCTGAAGAACAAATAATGTTGAAACTAGAAATGTATCTTTTATGGATCTTTTGACCCTCCTCTACAAAATAGTGGATTACTCCGTAAATATACATCCATGAGATTTAATATCTTGGCTTATATCACCAAACATATTTGTCTTTCTTAAGAAAAAATATTGACAAAATCAAAAATTTGAGCCGAGGACCTCTGGTTGAGTTGACACTGTGATGTATTCAACATTGTTGTTGTAAATCCTGCTGATTTGTCACCAAGATAATATTATTTAACTGGCTAACATAGATTTTAGGTTATGTCGATATAGAAAAATTTACTTTTACATTATTTACACTGTAGCTGTAATAATTTACAGCTTGCTTGCATATTTTCTTTTGCAAAATAAAATGGTAATACAATTTTTTTTAACAAAAAATAAAAATGTATATACTTTTCCATAGTCTGGGGTCGCTAAGATTTTTTCAGTGTTTTTAAAAAAAGCTTCTTCTGCTCACCAAGTCTGCATTTATTTGATCAAAGATGCAGTAAAAACAGTAATATTGTAAAATATTATTACAATTTAAAGAGCGGTTTTCTCTTTTAATATATTTTAAAATGTATTTTTTTTCCTGTGATGCAAAGCTGAATTTTCAGCATCATTACTCCAGTCTTCAGTGTCACGCGATCCTTCAGAAATCATTCTAATCTGCTGATTTGTTGCTCAAGAAGCATTTCTTATTATCTTATCATAATATCTTTCATTATCAAATAAATTGATACGTTTCATTAAATTCTGAAATGTACATTTATAAATGTATTTACTACCACTTTTGATTAATTTAATGTTTGCTTGCTGAATAAAAGTATTGCTTTCTTAAAAATCTTACTTAACAGTAACAGTAGTGTACATGAAAATGCATATTACTAGCACATAAAAAATGTATTTCTAAAAATAAAAT